GGTTTGGCCTCGGCAAGTTGCGGTTCCGTCGCAATAGCATGGCATGACTAAATGCTCTTCTTATCTTTGAAGCGCGTACAGGAAACAAGCACCAACAATTAACTCTTACCTGGTATACCATTCGCGTGACCTTGTCCTCTACACTGTTCATTGGAGTGCAGACATGTGGGAGTTCGGCAGGATCTCCAATGAACTCACATTCATTCTGAACCTAGAATACCTTACTAGCCGAGTTCTTACAGCAGAAGAGTGATGAAAGGTTCTCAGTACTGCTATGGTAGTAGTGTTGCGTTTCTTCCTGCATGCTCTACATCGGTATACCACCACCCCTTGCTTGGTGGTACGCACTTGCTCGAAAGTATAACACAAATCTCCACCTAAACATCATTGGTTTAATTAAGGGCCATTGAACCTGCACACTCAAGGGTCATTGGTTTAAGGGTTAAACTATGACTGACTCAATCTGTTCAGTACACTCACCAGGAATGGGATATTTTATAACAGGATGAATACCCTTTTGACTGACACCGAGCTCTCCGCGAAACAGGTGCCCCGTCATGTTCACACCAAAACGACGTCGGGGAGACAGCTTCTTTTCGTCTGAATATACTCATCTGTCACGAATTCGTGGAACTTCACACGATATGAACTAACGGATAAGGACGAATAACTTACCTGAAGGAGGCGCAGAATCTTCTCCTGAAGTCGACGGTTGCGCGCTATCCGATGACAGAGCATGCAGAAGCGCCGGATATTTGGCAGATACACTGTCAGGCACTAGAGGACCTGAAGAAGACAGATTGTGTTGATGCTATTCGATCACACAAGGGGCGATGGGCTACATGTGTGACCCAGACGACACTTCGCTTTTTCGATTTCACAGTAACAGTGCGTTCACACTTTGCGCCAGCGTTTCGAGCGAATAGGAAAGTATAGGTAGTGATCCAGCGTTCTAAGGTTCATTGGCATTTCAAGCGACTAAGAATATATAAGTATCGATAACCACTGAAAACGCTATCGGACGCTCAAAACTCTAGATCCAATACCTATACTTTCCAAGTCGCTCACAACGCTGAGACGCTCAGAACGCTACCGCAAAGTATGGACGTATTCTAGCGGTTGCATATATATTAGTAAAAAACTCGAAGAAGCACTTACCAGATGCATCTGCTCCCTTCATTGCTACATATGAACAACTTGCAGTTCAGCAACTTAAATCTATCTAAAAATTACTGAAGGCAACTTAGTGTTGTTTGATGTGGAGCTTAATTCATAGAGCCCTCTACAGCATTTAGGCCGATTGCATGTTGAAGAGTAGATTAGAGAGTTATTTCGAACGGCAGTATATACCTTAGGATTCAAGGAATTGAGCGAGATTAACGAAGGGTGGAAGCCCATCGACGTCAAATAATATGTGTGCTGTCGTGGGTGCACACACCGCACACCATCGCACGCGCCACATGGTTGTGCGATTGCGTACACAGCAGTGCTACCGTAATGTGCCTAGTCACTATTCGTCGCGGACGTAATATGCTAATGAGTCCTAGTGAGTTGTACGATGAACCAGTCGGATCGCCCGGCTGACGCCGAGCTCTCCTCCTTCTCTTTAGCTCGGCTTCGCCGAGCTGGCCTGGCTTCGCCAGGCGCGCTCCATGATTTTAACGGAACCTTTTCAATAGTGGGCTGCTCATACGGCGCGCGTAGTGATCGAATCGTGACAGACAGAGCAAGGCCTAGGATCCTGCACTACTTAGCATACAATGTGTAGTCGGCCAATGCAGCGCAATATGAATCGCTCAGTAAAAGAACAGATTTCGTTTCCATTACCTGCACCGAAATGCCTACCGATGAATGTTCCCCTTTTCAATTAGCATGCAATCCGCTCCCTGAAGTATTGATTATTAGTAGGTGCTACTCCCTTGCCATTCGTTCTTATCTGTAATTCAATGGTCAAAAAAAGAGCTGTTGAACGCATGAAGCGCCGCATTATTCAGGCTTTCTGTTCACCCGGAGTTGGCGAACTACATACCCCCCCCCCTCGTCGACATCGATCGACTTTATGTAGTAGGATAGTGGGATGAGTTCATTTCCTACTGTTATCAGAGAAGTGATGGGCTAAGGGAAAAGTTTGCACATTGAGCCTCCAATACTTGGCAGTATAGTGATAAGAGATGTAGTGAGAATGGCTCTTTATCCTATCCTTTCTTATCAATTGATAAGATTGCCTGTCACCCGTCATCAATGTCCCTATCACTAAAACTATAATTTGGTAGTGTAAAGGCTCCAGCACTTTGACAGAACAACAACGGCAACGTTCCTTATCAGCCCCTATCAGCTGTTATCACCTGTCACCTGCCGCCGATGTCCCCATCTCCCACTCTACTCTATATCATTTTCTGAAATCAACGCCTAGCTGATGCTGTGTATCGCGTTATGAGTATGGTGACCTTACCATTCTAACTCCCCTTATCAAATCTTATCAGCTGATATCACTCCCTGTCACCCATCAATAATGTTCCTGTCCCACACCCTATCATACCTTGGAACCAATGTCCCACTGTTACTGTGTCCCGCACTATGGACTCGGTCACCCTCCCCTTCTAAGGCCCCTTATCGAATCTTATCAGGTGCTATCACATTCTATCACCCACCAAAAGTGTTCCCGTCCTGCCATGTATATCACTTCTTGGAACTGTCATCCTATCTTTTCTGCGACGCTCGCTATGAATTTCGTGACAGACAGACAGACGCACACACAACACACACACACACACACACTGACAGACATACTTAGCGGATTATATGTATTATTATATTAATAAATATTGAGTGATACCTGTGTATTTTTTAGTCCTAGACTACTCCTGTGCGATAGTCTCATAAGAGTTTTTGAGGAAGGGTAGCTGTACTATTGACCCAAGATATCTATTTGATTTAGTTTCGCGATAAGGGTTCAAAAGCATTACCAAGTAAGAAAGGATAAAGAAGTAGGTGCAGCGACATATCACTGTTTTGACATTTACAAAGCCTACACTTTGTGTAATATGAAAGGTGTGGCGTTAGCGATCCGCTCGGTATCGTTTGGACACTATCTATTATGTATGAGAACTGATTCTTTCAGGACAGTAGCAGTTGTCCATCTATAGACATCCCTTTCAAAAAGAAAGGTACAAAGGATGAGTGAGTTACATGAATATACATTTAACACATTGAACGCCGCGTGAATTGTCGGCAATACACGCGCATACTCCCGTTTCTCGCGTTTGTGTATTGCCCACAATTCACGTTTTGTGGGTCGGTTTTTTCGTGGATAATAGTGCGACTTGAACCATTCTCACCGAGTATATGTTCAGTGAGCTTTACTTATGCTTAGTTCTTGATGGCGTGAAATAAGCTGCTCATTGGGGTAATTCATTAACATTACAAAATAACATTAAGTAATTGCACTTCTTATGATTGCTCCGCATCACTACAATGGTAGTAAGACTTCTAGTGATAATTAGTGTTAATTTACAATACATTTGATAGTGTTTCAATTCATTATGATAACAATACTTATGTCAAAACTGACGTTTAGATCTTCTACGTTGTCCAGATCCATCTATGCAGCTAAAAGAAGTCATCATTCATATTGAACAATGTAGAAATGAGCGCAAAAGTAACCAGAATGAGCGTGTAAAGGGGCATGCGGCACAAAGACTCCCGTTTCGCGCGTTTGTGTATTGCACGCAATTCACGCGCGCGGAGACGCAGGAAGTGAAAACGGGAGTCGCCGCAAAAACGCCGCGGCGTTCAATGTGTTGAAGCTCCTGAAAACCTCTCCCTCGGTTTCCACGTACCATGTTGTTTTGGGAGCATGACAACTCTCTGGTTTTTCCTGCCACACGATTTTCGGTTTTCGCCGAAACCATGGGAGTGATATCGAAGCCCTAATTTAATATTAACGAGTAATATGTCTCTATGTCTTTTGTTGTTTTATGAAACGTTCTTTTATTCCAGTCCGCTCCACTAAAATGACCAGTTGCAATCAGTCACAGACCGTGGCGCAAACGCAGCATTTACTAGCACTCTGCCGCACAACCACCATCTTTTCACACATATTGGAAGAATAGACACATCTCCGCTGTCATGGCCCTTTTATGCTCTTAATTGATGAGGGATAGCCCTTACTAGACAGCGCGCCCTTCTCAGAAGACGGATCAAGCCACGGATATGGAGGCAAGAGGTGAGGGAAGATGAACTTTCCAGTAACGGAGTCTTTCGTGCTTGAGCTCACTTTCTCCTAATGATATATTCGACGGAGAGGGAGATGTATGTGCCTATGGCCATTACGTTCAAATATAGACGCTAATCAAATCATATCTCACACGTGAAGACTTGGTGGCTGGGGGAAGAGGACTCGTATTTAGTCTAAGAAATTTTTTTTGTGAGGAGCGGGTCTTATTTGTGCTATGCCCCCACCCCTCTCGACAGTAAGATTTTGGGGAAAAACTAGAAAACTTTGAAAAAGGAACCGATATTCGATCAACAGAGTTATGGCTCACCTTGATCATCCGCCGCGATGCGGGGTGACCACCCTGGTCACCGTTTAACCGTAAAGTAACGATCACTCACGGTAGACCTCACGGTAGATCAAAACTTGCGAAAGTTGATACGGCGCCAGCTCACGCGTTATGGCCACACACTCTCCCTTTCTATTCATCTGAGGGTCCTTTGCCGTAATCCAGAATGCCTCCAATGTCTTACGCGCTGTGATCTCGGCCTCCTGCACTAATATGGTCACGGAGACGTCGGATGTCGTGCCTTCATGGTATTGAATTCCAAGGCCCAGGGCTCCAAGCGCGGTATAGGGTTCGCGACCCACTGAGCCCTTCCAGATGTTCTGTGACTTGCACACGGAGAGGACGACCTGTTCCCCCCTTTTTGCTCACTTCCACAGCTTTGGCAGTGTATTAAGTAGATAACTGCTAACTTCATGCGATTACGCTGCTGCCAGATAAATGACACATTCAGGAGTACCACGTAAAGTGTCTTGCAGCCGGTTGGAACCAGGAGACGAGGAACCGATCATTCAGCACCGGCGTGATCTGCAACACGACATTAGGTGACTCCGAAAGTTTTTTCATCTGAAGTTTTGCTCTTGAAGAGTGGAAAAAATTATCTGAAAAGACCTAAATTTTGTTTGGTAGCTGTTCGTATCCCCGTCGCGGAGGCCAGAGAATAACAATCGCAGGTCGCCTGTCGTCCAGCATTTCGCAACCAGTGGCGGAGGTATTTAAGCTGCTGCCAGCCGTGCTTGTGCAACTAAATGAGGAGGCAGTGTGCCCCCAGCTGGCGGCTGAGCCTAATGCCATCTCCGTGCAAATCGGAACCAACCCACGCAGGTGGCTACTAGGACTACACGGAATACCGTCGTTCACAACAGCGTTAGAAGGTGAGTTTGAGTGGATGGGGGGAGGGAGGGGGGAAGGGAAGGTTGCTTGCCCTTATTTTCCAACCTTTGTCCCTTCTAAGTGTCTATGTTCACAAAAATCGGGCCTACTGAGATCAAGTGTCCCGCATAGTCCTAAGCTTGGGCTGGACTTTTTGGGCTCGCTCTGTATGGGTTCCGGGCTGATGCGCCCGTCCGCGTCAGCCCGTAACCCATACAGAGCGAGTCCCAAAAGGCATGAGATCTCCAAGAATTCACAAATATGGACTCCATTCGGGTCTCCCCAAAGTCCGCGATGGTCTCCAAGATGCCATCGGTGATTGGAGGACCATCGTCCGATGCAACTGCTCCGTTTCCAGGGTTTCTCAAGTGTTCTCTCCCACACCTTCGTATTTAGCAGCGCCACACAATTTTTCTCTGGCACCAACACCTCTTACTACCGTGGAGCCCTCCTCACTACCACAGATTTCCCCCGCACGGGCAACTTTCTACTAGTATGTCGGTCAGGGAGCAGCATGCAATTTCGCCCCTACACCAGCACCCTCGTATTACAGGGATCGGTCTCTACCACGCACCATCGCAACATCCCACAACCTTCAGATTACAGAGTCCTTTCCCGCGATCCTCTCCCGGCTTCTCCTGGCAGCCGGAAGGTTTTAGAGAAAAGCACCGTCGCAACAACGGTTTAGAGGAGAACGACACGTAAGCAAACGAGAGAACAGTTTTCTAATCTACAGGATTCCAGGTATGCCTACACGTTCGCAAGGCATCGAGCGAATGAAAACGAAGTGGTCTACCGTTGCGTGCAGTGCAGGAAGGAAAAGCAGAAGACGTGGGTAAATGCTTTAGGATATATCATATAGGCGAGATTCGCAAATGAACTCAAAGTTGAGTCTGCATTCAGCAATTGCTTGTCAGGTAATCGGTGACGAGTCTCTAACGCATCCGTGCAGACTTGGCCATGAGTGCCGTCCGGAAAAGTATGTCAGAGAAAGAGGAAACAAAGCTGTCTACGAGGTTAACCTAGTTGTTTTCAAGTGGCAGTTCAGTAGAACACTACATATTTATTTCGACCTCTTGGCTCAACAGCGAGAACGGACAACGGTAGTGGATTTGTGGTGTTTCACAGTTTTCCTTCTTGGTTTCGCATTCCTATTACAGAGGAAATGGAGGACTGTATGAGAACGACCATTCGGAGATCGGATTACCAAGTCGAAAGCAAGCAATAGTTAAGAACTTGAGAAAATGGGTGGATCGCTCAGTTTTCATGGAGAATGTACCACGAGATTTCCGTACCCTTCGAGATGGCTCTCGTTCTACAACTAGACGAGCCGGGATTCCTTTATTACTCCACGCGAACCATCCAGGTGCCCACTGTAAACATAACACTTCAATTGAAAACTGATAACACACTTTTAGATGGCACGTGAGAATGGGCATCATGACATCGTCGCCGACGGATCTCACTGTTTGCAGCCGAAGAGCTTGGAGCACTATGCGCAGTTGTATTGTGTGCATGGTGTCTGCAACCAAGAAGTCGACGTACCGCATGTGTTCCATAATGGAAAAGAAAACACGTCGGGGTCACAAGGAAGTTCTTCAAACGCTTAAAAAGGATTTGGCGAAGCACCTAGACGCATAGTGCTCGATTTCGAAAAGCAGCTATCTATGCGGCTAAAGGGTATTCCCGGATTCGGCTGTGGAAAGGCGTGCCTTCCACCTGGCACAGGCGTGGAGTCGCAAAAGGAACCATTCCTGGCTCCAGAGATACCTCCAAGGCTAAGAATGGGATGAACATGTGATCAACTGGTGGCAAACGCTAAAAGGTAGCGTGAATTTTTCATTCATTGTTGCAAGTTAATGTCACATACATACCTGCAGGAATGGTATTCCTCCCGGAGCATCTTTGGCCTGAAGTGCGAGCGCTACGTGGACCTTGTCATGACCATCGGTCATGATATCGATGAGGCACCCCTAGCACCGTTGGTGCCTGCGCTCTGCAATCGATCGATTCATGCAGTCCGTCCTGGGGCAGGACTCGTACCGCCCAGAACCAGTTTAATCGGACCGCCCTTCTGGGCTCGATAAATACCGCGGCCAGAGAGGAGCTAGGCTCAGTTCTACACTTCGTCTTCCGCGAGCGGCGGGTCTTCTCTCTTAAGCTCTCTCTCCTCTCTGACACAATACTACTTACAGTTAACCTCGCATGTCGGGGATACACTACAGGCCGGCGGACCCGCGGCGAACGGCTAATCGATCAACACTAAGGTAGAGAACAAGACACACTACGCCACGAACGGCTCACGTACAGCAAGGCTCAGTACCACCTATATTATGTTCTCTTTGTAGTCGTAGTTATTGTATCTCTGTCGTATTATTATTTGTGTAGATAAAGATTAGAAGTTAGAACTGTTGCCACAACTCTACCACTGAACCACCAAAACCTCATTGGGCCGTGATGCAGCTCGAACAGACCTCGAGGTAGACAAATCAATTCGCATGATAGATGACAAGAATTCCTGAATTATTTGAAAACCGCCATTGCATAGCTTAGTAACTCCTCCTAGAACCGAGGTCAACCGCAGTTGAGCACGACGTGCCTAGGCTTACTCAGGTCACTTCGCACATCGCTAATTAGGCCCTCCGTCCTAGGACGAGAAATATTAACAAGGTGCGATTGTACTATAATCCCATACAGCTGGTAGTGATTGATGATACGTCTGATTTGGAATATCTTATGGAGACGTTCCGAAAATGTGGAGAATTGAGATCACTATTCTAGTATATTAACCGGTGAAATAGGCTGTGGCTGTACTCACTACATGAAAGAGATTGCCAGGTTGTTCAGTCGACTGATTGGCGATAGGGTTCTTTGTTGTATGAAAGGCATACCGTTTTTTCAAGTTATAACGCTTTTCTTATCGTGACTTCTTTCAATCTTAAACCATTGTAAATCTTAGATTTTGCCATTTTGTAATTTGATTCAATGCTCCTCACTATCTTGCAGCAAACTCCCGCACCCACTCCTACCCCAGACCCTTCTTTCCATAGGAATCCGGTCAGTTGTTAATTGACTGTTCCCTCTTTTGGATTTCTGTTATGTATGTATATAATTAGATGATGTTGGTGTAGACAATATAATTGATGTTTGTAGACCTGAAGAAGGGCTTACGGCCCGAAACGTTGTCTGGAATAAAGGACTGGAAAGAGTTTCATTATACGCACCACAAAGAAAACTTATGTTCCTCACTAAGTATTCATTTTCCGTTCAGGTAAACATTGCTGATCATGATATAGTTCATTCCCAATACTTTCTGGCGTTTTGCTCTCAGTAACTAGTGTTACCTGAGAAAACTTATGTTAGAGCACTTGAGCTTGAGCAGCACTGACGGTAAAGCGAGGTTTCTGAATGAGTAGGACGGTGAGAAAAAAAGAATGACTCGTCGTCAGGACCTTGTTATAGGTTATCAACGCATTGATACATACGCCCATTATCCCCGAGACTAAGCAGGCGTGGCGTTCGAACATGACATGGGATGGGTTCCTCGTAGGATATTTTAATTTGAAACAACTGTCATCCTGTTCATTGTTGGGCAGAGGCATGCGCACGATTGTGTTGAAATGAAAATATCCCACCAAAAGCGCAGTCACCGCCACGTTTTGAAGTAGGCAGCCACGCCTACCACATCCCAAGGATTTCAAGTGTACTTATTGTCAATTGGGGTGCAGATACGGTAGGGATATCCTACTGTAATTCTTGCTGTTGGGATTGGTGTACTCGTGGCATGTTTTCTTTTCCTTATAACCTAGACGTCTTTGGGCTTGTTCTATAACTTTTTTGAATGTAATGCTCACACGTTCTCTTTATTATGCCGTACAGGTTTGTAGGGTGGAAGTGTTTATTTGCTTGACGTTTTGACCAATAGCGTCTTTCTGAAAGGCCTGAAAGCATGTCGGAACTCATGAAATCCTATTCTAGACCCCTTCT